GCTTCGCCCTACCCTCAAGTCGAGCCTCCTGACACATGAGGATCATGGCCCTGTTGTCAGCAAACAGGACCGGGACAGACCTAGGCTTCTCACCTAAGTCAGTGAGCAAGAACGTCAGCCAGCCGAGCTCCTGAGCGGCCATAGCCCCAGCATAGATCTCTGCCTCACAACTCAACTGAGCTACAGATGACGATCTGGTGGACCTCCAAGAGATTGCACCAGCACCAAGACTAGAACAATAGCCCTGAGACGACCTGAGCATCTCCACGTCATCAGCCCATGGCGCGCCTGTGTGTCCAGTGAGCACCACTATCTCCCTTCCTCCTAGCACGAGCCAAGAGACTAAGAGGGTACGCTAGATCCGGTCGAGTGCAGGTCATCAGGTACATAAGGCACCCCACCAGCTCTGCGTATGGACCACTAGCCTTGACCGGCTCAGCCAGAACAGGAGTAGAGAGCTTGTGATCCACAGGCAGGGGTGGGCTGTTCTTAGGAGAACTAGAGACTGAACCTCCGGAGGATCTGCTGCACCATATGGGACTGGGAGAGTGTGATCGTATGAGCAGCACGATCACAAGAGATCTCTAAGCCCAGATAGCGCCTCAGCTCCCCCATGTCTGTACAGGTGTGTCTCCTAAGTAACTCGGCCTTCACTGAGGACAGTGCCACTCTGTCAGGAGTAGCAAAGGTAAGACCATCTACGTACACTAGAATGTAGAACGGTGTCTGACCCGTGCAAACAAAGAGTGAGGGGTAACCAGAGGACGGAAAGAACTACAGCTCAACAAGAGTGGTGCGAAGCGTGTCGTGCCACTCACGGGGTGCGTGACGAAGGCCGTAGATAGGGCGGCGCAGTGGAGAAATCGAGCGAGTGAAGCTCGTAGTCAAGCTGCGCGGCTATGTGAAGACCCAAAGAGTAGTCATCTTCGGGGTCGGGGAGAAGGTCTGGAAGAAGTCCACACCCTCACGCTGACTGAAGCCTCCAGCCACGTAACGCGCCTTGAACTTCGTCGGCTCTCCAGGTGTGCGCTTCACCTTGTAGATCCACATGCCATCGACTACGTTTGCCCCAGTTGAGGAAAATGCATCGAGGTAAGTGCCTGTGGATCTGTAGGATGCCATCTCAGCCTCCATGGCCTGTATCCACTGGGATGCAAAGGGCCTTGACATCACCTCAGCGTAGGAGCGCGGAACAGGGATGTCGAGAGCGTCTGTGTTGCCCTCTAGGGATACAAGCGCAGAGATAGTCTCAGGAGGAGCAGTGGGGTCAGTGTCAAGCGATGCAAGCAAGCACGAGAGGGTAGGACGAGCAGCGAGAGCAGTGTCGGAGTGAGGAGGGGGGGAACAACAGAAGCAACAATGGGGGAGGCCATGGGAGGACTATGATTGGAGGAGCAAGCGAACGAAGAACCATAGGGTGGACACTAGGATGAGGAGAAACAGGATGAGCACCAGAGGGGCGACGGACCCAGTGGGGAAAAACTGGGGACTGGGGACGAGGGGCGACGGGGGACAAGTCTGGGGACGGAGGGGAGCGCAAGGGAAAACGAGCCGGAGAGGAGTCCGAAGGAGGGAACAACGCGCCGTAAACTGGGTCACACATCGGAGGGGAACGTGCAGGCAGGGTGTAAACAGGGTCAGCACCCCTAGAACCCACTGCTTCCTGCTGCGGCCGCTGAGGCTGCTGCGGCGGCTGCTGCTGCTGCTGTAGCAAGGGGGGAGGCAGCTGAGGTGACTGGGGTATCGAGGCTAGGGGAGGCGCCACAGGGAGAGCAGGCGCGTCCCTAGCAGCTGGGCCCCCAGAGTCAGCCGACTCCCCCACACGCGCAACCGAGGGGAACTGAGTGGCGTGGGAGACACCAGACTGGGCCGGGCAGGGCGGGAGGGGAGCAGCAGGCGGGGCAGGGACAAGGAAGAGAGGAGGAGGAGGCACAGTAGTGCTGCGGTGCGGGAAGCAATGGTAGTAGGGGAGCGTCTCGTCGAAGGTAACATCACAAGAGTGGTAAAAGTGGTGGTGTCATGGGTGGTAGAACGGCCAGTCAGAGGCATCAAGTGGAAAACCTAGGAAGACACAAGGAAGGGTGCAGGCTGATAGCTTGTCCACGTCAGGGTCGCGGACGGGAACAAGGCTGCCCTAGATGTGGAACGCAGACACGTCACCAGGAGACCCGGTCCCGAGGAGGGTCGGCGAAACCTGTGGCCGCTGGGAGCGCGACCACAGGTTAAGATGGTGAGCAGCGTAGCGCACATCGAACGGCCATTGAAAATGGGGTGCACCGGCGTGGACCATGTAGGTGCGAGCCACCTCCATGATCACGCCGATGTGTTGCTCAGCGACCTCATTCTGCTATGGGGATTCCGATAGTGTGTACGTCTGGCGGATGCCCGGAGCACGACAGAACCGTCCTAGAGTGCCAGAGGCAAACTCGCCACTGCGGTCAGAGTGTAAGTGACCTACAGGCAGGCGGTGGTGGGTGCGAACAGCAAGAAGCCACGGGAGGAGAAGGGTAGGCACGCCGGCATTCCGCTCCAACAAGAACACTGTGGTGAATCGCGAGAAGTCGTCAACGACGACTAGGAAGTACCGCTCCCGGCTAAGACTATAGACTGGGGCAGGGCCCCAGACGTCCATGTGCAGTGTCTGTAGCGGTGCTATGGTAAGAGGAAACGACGAGGAGTGAGGGGCAGCGCGCTGCCGGCCCTCGATGCAGGAGGTGCACAATGGCGCTACTGATGGAGGCAGGGCGGATAGCGACGCAAGGAGACCAGTGACTAGACCGTGCTCGGACATGTGCCTAAGACGCGGAAGCGCAGGGTGACCTAAGCGGTAGTGCCACAGAAGGGTCGGGTGGGCTTGTGAGCAACAGGAGCAGGACGCGGTGACCTCGGCAGCGCAGCAGCCGGCGGAGACTCAGTGTGTAGTGTAAAGAGACCTGACCCAGGGTCACGCTCAAAATTGGCTAAGTGTTGCCCGGTGGTTGTGTTTGAGCAAGCGGTGTGCCTCTGGTGGCCAGAGAACGTAGTGGTGACGCCTCAGAGGTAACCGACACCCACTAGATTCCTGGCAAACGAGGGGATATGCAGACCAGTGAGGGAGTCAGAACTGACAGCTGGACAGGGAAGAGTGGTGGTGCTACATGCAACAGCTGTTGGTGCAACCCTATGGCTTGCACTCGGCTTGTCGTCCTTGTTTGTGTCTGTGCATGCATGGCATGGAATGAATTGTGAGTCTATGTCATTGCTATCTAGTGCTTGTGTGTGTGTTTGAATGGTGTATCACAATGTGGTTTGTGTTGGTCAAGACATTAGCGAGTTTTTACAACTCACATGTCAAATCGTCGTTTGCGTATCGCATGTGTTTTTTCTATTTTGTCGAGTGTGAAGTGTCCATCACATCACAGGTGTGTGCAGCAAGCCCCCATCAACTCAAGAAGAATTTATCTTGCAGAACCAAGACCAAGAGCTCAAGATTTCAAGCCCAAGGGACACGGATAAATATTAAATAGTGAAAATAGTAACGCTACTTCGTGTAGTGTTACATTTCACCTGGTGTAGCCCCTTGGAGGGTTTGTTTCGAGACTCTTCATGGTTGGGGACTCTGTGGTGGTGTACCACCAACCTGGACATCGGCTCTTGGGGTATGTAGAGGCTGGGAACCATCTCCATCTCGAATTCTTCTTGCTAAGTTTGTACTTCTAAGACAATAGTGGCTGCTATACCTCCTGCCAGTCAAACCGCCATAGCCTCGTCAAATCTTCATGAAATTTCATGATTCAACTTGCTGCTGATAGACGATAGCAACACGCTCCAGATCCAACTTACACATCACCGTTTGAGTAAGATACCAGATCGTTATCAATATTTGAAGCCGTCTGATGGAAATCCGACTGTGCTCTCTATCTCTCATTATAGGCACATCTGAGCCTATTGTGGTTATAACAAGTGGTATCAGAGCCCCTTGGAGCCATCTCGACCATGCCTAGACCTGAGGAAGGGGGTGGCAGAGGTGTTGGAGGCAGAGAAGACGCCCAAGCACAAGGTCAACACCAAGATCCACCCGTTGCTCCGGTGTAACCTAGCCTTGGACCCTCTAGGGATGAGCCTAGAGTGTTTGGCCTTGACAAGTTCAACGGTGACAACTTTGCTGAGTGGTCCTTCAAGATGGAGAACATCTTTGACCACTATGATCTGCTGGAGGTGATGGAAGGAACGGAGAAGCGCCCCAAGAAGGACCCGGAGAAGAGGCCGTGGGTGCGGAAGTGCGCACAAGGCTACCTTCTACTTGGGCAAGCGTTGGGGAGCAGCCAAATCCGTCACATCAAGCCTTTTCAGCGTGAACCAGTAAAGGGACTAAAGGCATGGGCTGCTCTCAAGGGTGTACATGCTCCTGCAATAGCGGCGGTGGCTGTGGTTTTGGAGCGGCAAATGGCGGCACTTCGAATTGACGAAGGAGAACCGGTGGAGGAAGGAGTGCAGAAATTCTTCGACTTGTTGACATGGCTTGAAGGAGCTGATCTGAACTACAGTGACCTTCAAAAGAAGACCAAGCTTCTGGCCTTACTTCCGGACTCATGGTCCTCGCTCATCATCAACTTTTATCGAGATCTGCCCCGTCTCTCACTCAAAGATGTGAAGCGGGAAATCTTACAAGAAGATTTCCGCCGTCGCGAATTGGCGGGTCCCGATGGTGCCGGAGTTGCAAGCATGGGCCATGGGCACGGCCGTGGAAGGGGCAGAGGGCGAGGAGGAAGATTTGGCAGCAGTAACTTCAATGGAGGCCGTGGTAATGGAGGATATGGCAGCAATAACAACAATGGCTACGGGCGTGGGCGCGGTCGATTTGATGGCGAATGCCACTTTTGTCACAAGACCGGCCACATGTGGAGAGATTGCTTCAGATTGCCTGATGGATGGACCCCTTCTCAAGGCCAAGAGGGCAGAGGAGCAAGGGGAGGAAGAGGCAGAGGTCGTGGAGGCCGTGGTGGTCGTGGAAGCGAAGCGGCAAGCATGAAAGGTGGAGACTACGACAAGGACTCGAGTGAAGATCGATACCCGGGCCAATTCTTCTTTGTCTCCACGCAAGCGGCAGCTGCAGCAGGAGGCGTGGAAGGCTTTGAGGAGCCAGCTACTGTGGGAAAGGTCACCCTTCACTCTCTGGACTTTTGGGTGATCGATAGCGGCGCCACCTATAGCATGACACCTCGTGCGGACTTGCTCATCGAACTCCAACCGTCGCCGGTCAAGCATGTTACATCGGCTTTGGGGCAGCGAGCAGAGGTGAAAGGCATGGGCAAGGCCATGTTCAAGGGTGCTGATGGGAAGATGGTGGGCCTCAAGAACGTGCTTTTGGTGCCCAACCTAGCAGCCAACCTGATTTCCGTTCGGCGTTTGCAAAAGGCCGGCATGGACACATCTTCCAAGGGATCCAAAACCTATACCGCGAGGCTTGGTGAGCAGAAGCTTTGGGACCTTCATGAGGACAGGGACATCTACAATGAGATGTAGCAAATCCCAGTGGTCCCCATGCCTAAGGGGAGGCAAGTGGCAGCAAGCGTCAGCACCAAGAGTGAAGCAGTTGGTGGCGGTGATCACGGAAAGCAAAGTGACAGCAAGAGTGACTCGAAGGAGTGAAACCTTGGAGAGACCAGCAAGGCGTGTGAACCCAAAGAGAATGGTGCAGCAGCCAAAGGTGGTGGAAATGAGGAGGAGAAACCTAAGATCAACAAAGCATCAGCGGCGAAGGAGAAAGGAGAGAGCTTGTGGGGCACAATTGCGAGTGCCGCTTTCTCCCGCTACGGGAGAGTGTGATTGGCTGACCTTGCATCGGCGAATGGGGCATGCCCATTTTGCAGCAAATTGTTAAGTAAGAGATGGTCAGTGGGATACGTGTCAAGGGGAAGCCCAATGAGGTGCTTGGCTGTCCAACATGCATGCAAGTCAGGTTCACCCGCTACCCGTTCCATAGCTCGGAGACAACGGCGAAGGCACCACTTGATGAGGTGGTGATGGATGTGGTGGGCCTCTTGAAGCTTGGAGCTGCTAGAGCAGAGTACTTCCTCACCATTGTGGACGTCTACACTCGCATGACTTGGGTGTATGTACTGCCCAAGAAGAGTGACGTAGCTGAAACGGTGAAGACCGATTGGTTGCCGATGGTGGAGCGGCAACAAGACCGACTTGTGAAGGCGATTCGCACAGACCGTGGGGGAGAGTTCCTGAGCAAGGATTTCTCAACTTGGCTAAAGAAGCAGGGCATAAGGAACTCTCTTACCATGCTCTATTCTCCTGCAATGAACGGCATCGCCGAGCGTGCGAATTGGACACTCACGGAGACGGCTCGGGGACTTCTCATTGAAGCCGGTCTTCCCAATTACTTTTGGCCGGATGCGGTGCGGCATGCTTGTGTGGTCAAGAACAGAGCCTTGACTCATGTGGGAGAACACAAATGGGTGCCCAATATGGAGTGGATTGGAAGGAAGCCAAAGGCGGATATGCTTCGGGTGTTCGGGTGCATGTGCATGGCACTTGTGCTTAAGAAACTTCGGCACAACAAGCTTGATGCCAACGCAACATCGGCCGTGCATCTAGGCATGGCTCAAAACAGCAAGGGATGGCTTTTTTGGGACACATTTACCAAGAAGTTATTGGCGAGCAGAGATTGCAAGTTCATGGAGAACTTACCGTACAAGGAGTGGAAGGCGGAGAACCAAGCGAAGATTGGTGTGCGGCTTGGAGAGGTGAAGAGGACCTGCTTGGAGCATGTGGAGCTGCCCTTGGAGCTGAGTAGCAGCAGCACAATCACGAGGCAATCTCCCCAAATGAATGGGGATGAGGAGGAGGAGGAGGTGCAGCAAGGTAATGAGCATGCACCTCCACTTCCGCCTCGTGCTACAAGTGCTCGCGGGAACCGACCGGATTTACCGCAAAGCCATGAGAGCATTCAAGTCCCTGCAGCAGAGGAGGAAGGAAGGGGGAGAAGGAGGACTCAGCCCCCCAATAGGTTGAGCTATGAACGGCTTGGAGGACCAGCCAACTCAACCTTGACCGGTTCGGCTCTCATGCTAGGCGATGATGCGGAAGATGAAAGCGAGGAGTGCGCTTTTGCCTTCTTCTCTCCGGTGGAGATACCGGGGGAGCCTACAAATCCCAAGAAGGCTTGGGAGGGCCCCAATGGGAAGGAGTGGAAGAAGGCCTCAGATGAAGAAATGGGGAGCATCATCGAGAACGACACGTTTGACTTGGTGAACCTACCTCCGGGGCGTAAGGCGATTTCTTCTAAGTGGCTCTTCAAGCGCAAGACCGACGCCGACGGCAACATTGAGCGCTACAAGAGCAGACTTGTAGCCAAGGGGTACCAGCAGCAGGAGAAGGACTAAAATGAAGTATATGCTCCTGTGGTGAAGGGTACAACCCTTCGAACTGTCTTCACCGCGGCGGCCATCAAAGGATGGGTGGTGAAGCAAATGGACATCGTAACGGCCTTCCTCAACGGCGTTTTGGAGGAAGAGACCTACATGGAGCAGCCAGAGGGGTACAATGATGGGAGTGGCAGAGTGTGGAAGCTGAAGAAAGCACTCTATGGCCTCAAGCAAGCCCCTAGGCAATGGTACATCAAGCTGCGGGAAGTCTTAGAGGCGATCGGCTTCACTCCCTCAACGGCCGATCAATCGTTGTTCATGCTTGGCGAGGGGGAGCAGAGGAGCTTCATGGTGGTTTATGTGGATGACATCTTCATATTCTCACCCTCCTTTGACCTTGTGAAGGAGGTGATGCTGAAGCTTCAAGACAAGTTCAAGTGCAAGATCCTTGGTGACGTCAACTACTACCTTGGGCTTCACATTGAGCGAGATGTGGAGAAACGGTGGATGCGAGTGCATCAAAAGAAGTACTTGGAGGCCTTGGCTGCAAACTTTGGGAAGAGTGAAGGTCATGTGGCTACTCCTCTACCCTCAGGGTTCAAGTGTGTGAAAGGACCAGCGAAGGAAAGTGTTGGTGAAGAGGAGAGGCGCCGTTTTCATTCCTTGGTGGGCAGCCTCATGTGTGCAGCCGTTCACACAAGGCCGGATGCAGCCTTTGCTATCGGGCAGCTGGCTAGGGTTGTCCAATGCCCTAATGAAGAGCAGGTAGCATCTGGAGAGAGGGTGGCCAAGTACCTTGGCCAAACAGCAACTGTTGGATTGCAATACTCCGCGGCGGCACAAAGGCGTCAAAAGGGTGCGGATGGAGTCGAACCCGGGAGGCTCTTTCTCACCGCCTTTTCTGATGCATCTTGGGCATCAGAACCAGAGGATATGACAAGTGTGGGAGGCTTCATCTGCTGTGTTGGTGGAGGCCCAACAGCTTGGGAGAGCAAGAAGCAAGTGGACCAAGCATTGAGCTCGGTGGAGTCCGAGTACATGGCACTCTTCCGTGCCATAAGGGAGGTTGTGTGTGCTAGCTGAATTGGGGGAGGAGCAGCAAGGACCTACACCACTCTATTGTGATAGCCAGGGTGCTATTGCATTGGCTAAGAACCTGGTTCTTCATGGCCTTACCAAGCACATGAAGGTGAAGTGGCATTGGGTGAGGAGCATGGTAACCTCGGGTTAAGTGGAGTTGCACTACGTGAAGACGACGGCACAGCCTGCTAATATGATGACCAAGAGGCTGGTTGAGCAGCAGCATTGGAAGTGTTGCAAGCTTGCAGGGATGGCTCTGAACTAAGGGGAGCAGATTCTAAGGCCAACAATCCGAGGGGGAGTTTGTTGGTGCAACCCTATGGCTTGCACTCGGCTTGTCGTCCTTGTTTGTGTATGTGCATGCATGGAATGGAATGAATTGTGATTCTATGTCATTGCTATCTAGTACTTGTGTGTGTGTTTGAATGGTGTATCACAATATGGTTTGTGTTGGTCAAGACATTAGCGAGTTTTTACAACTCGCATGTCAAATCGTCGTTTGCGTGTCGCATGTGTTTTTTTTTTATTTTGTCGAGTGTGAAGTGTCCATCACGTCGCAGGTGTGTGCAGTAAGCCCCCATCAGCTCAAAAAGAAATTATCTTGCAGAACCAAGACCAAGAGCTGAAGATTTCAAGCCCAAGGGACACGGATAAATATTAAATAGTGAAAATAGTAACGCTACTTCGTGTAGTGTTACATTTCACCTGGTGTAGCCCCTTGGAGGGTTTGTTTCGAGACTCTTCATGGTTGGGGACTCTGTGGTGGTGTACCACCAACCTGGACATCGGCTCTTGGGGTATGTAGAGGCTGGGAACCATCTCCATCTCGAATTCTTCTTGCTAAGTTTGTACTTCTAAGACAATAGTGGCTGCTATACCTCTTGCCAGTCAAACCGCCATAGCCTCGTCAAATCTTCATGGGATTTCATTATTCAACTTGCTGCTGATAGACGACAGCAACGCGCTCCAGGTCCAACTTACACATCATCGTTTGAGTAAGAGACCAGATCGTTATCAATATTTGAAGCCGTCTGGCGGAAATCCGACTGTGCTCTCTATTGCTCATTATAGGCACATCTGAGCCTATTGTGGTTATAACAACAGCCGTGGCGGAGGAGTCTGCTAGTGCGACGCGGACAGGTGCAGGAAGCGGGGTGAGAGCAGCACTGTCTCCAAAAAAGCACTAAGACGCGCCAGAGTCTAGGACAAAGGAGAGGGCCGACGTGGAGGAGCCCAGTGAAGAGTGTCTATCAGGTCCTACGCCTGACGCAGCAGGGGAGTCTACACCTGACGCGGCAGGGGATCCTAGACTACACACCTCGGTAGCTCCAAGGCTACAAACAATAGGATAATAAGAACCTCAACACAGAGATTACAAGGCATGATTGATCTAAAGCATATCCATATCAGAGATAGGAACCCCACGACGAAGCAAGACATGTCAGGGGGGTACCTGCACTTGCGGGCCGAACTGACGACGGTAGAGGTCGTCCAGGCGGCGGAAGCAGCGAGCGGGGGTGTGCCCCACGCACTGGCACACCTGGCACACCTGGCCCACCAGTCAGCAGATGGTACGTGCAGGTCACCGTGCCACCAGAACCACCAGCACCCGGACTCACAGAAGTCCCACTCGACCCCCAGGGCCCCGACTGCCCTAGACCCCAACCCCCACAGCCTCCACCACGAACACCACCACGAGGGCCCGCCGGCCCCCACGACTGCTGCGGCTGCTGCGCCTGCTGCTGCTGCTGCTGTTGCTGCTGCGGCGGCTACAGCGCAGTCCCCGACTCTGATTGACCACCCTCTCCATCCGCACCCGCACTCCCTCCGCCCACTGCTGCCGACCCCCCACGACCCTTGCCCCCCTTGCCCTTGCCCTTGCTGCTAGAGGAGCAGCCGGGGGCAGAGGTAGCTGCTGCGGTCTCAGCAATACAGGCGGAGGCAAGGACTGTCACTGGGGAAGGAGAGCTGCTCTGAAAGATAGGGACTGCCGGCGCGCCAGTGGAACCAGTGATGGCGCGGAGGCGGTCCTCTACCTCAGTCAGGGAGTTGGAGAAGAGGTCAAGAGTGAGCTCAGAGGGGTGACTAGCGAGGATAGCCAGCCAGAGTGCACGGGCTGATGCAGCACCCACAAATTGGGAGTGCTCGTCAACCGGGAGGCACCTGAGGATGGCAACGCGAGCAGTGGCATCGCAGGATGCCCAGACAGAGTAGGCAGTAAGAGCAGCAGCGTGCACAGCCTGCTGCGCAGACGTCGCGTCAGTAACAAGAGCGCCCGGGCAGGGGATAGCAGGGAGCTCACCAGAGACATGGGCGTCCAGGGACTCGTCATCGACGCGCTGACTCGTGAGCTGAAGGAGAACTGCCTCCTGCTAGGCGGCAAATTTGACTGCCCAAGCCTCCCCATCTAGGAGCAGGACGAAGACTCCGAGCGACGCCATGCTGGCAGCTGCGGCCAGGAAGATAGAGGCTGCAGAAGCAGGGACAGCGAGGGCAGCTGCTACAGGGGCAGCCGAGATAGGGGCTGCAGCGGGAGCCAGTGGTAGCGCCGGCTGCTAGCTAGCAGCGGGATGGTAACGGCGGTGGGCCAGCAGTGAGCTGGCTAGCAGCGGCAGCTCTGCAAGCTGGCTAGCGGAGGCGGCTGCGTAGCTATGGGCGAGCCACGGCATTGGTGGCAGCAACAGCTGCAGTGGCAGTGGCTGCTGGCAGCAAGAGCAGCGGCAGTGGTGGCTGCAGCGGCAGTGGCAACTGCAGGAGGCAGCGCAGCAGCTGCAAGGGCAGTGGTGACAGAGACAGCTATAAGGGCAGCGGCGGCAGCAGCAGCTGCAAGGGCAGCGGCAGCAGCGGCAGCTGCAAGGGCAATGGCGGCAGCGGCAGCTGCAAGGGCAGCGGCGGCAGTGGTGCTGCAAGGGCAGCAGCTGCAGCGGCAGCTGCAAGGGCAGTGGCGACAGCGGTGACTGCAAGGGCAGCAGCTGCAGCGGCAGTGGCGGTAGCAGCAGCGGCAGTGGCAGCAGTGGCTGCGGTGGCTGCGGCAGCGGTAGGGACTGCAGCAGTTGCGGCAGCGGCAGTGGCGGCAGCGGCAGTGGCGGCTGCGGCAGTGGCTGCAGCGGTTGCGGCAGTAGCAGCGGCGGCAGCGCAAGCAGCAGCAACGGCAGTGGCAGCAGCAGCGGCGACAGTGGCAGCGGCGGCGGCGTAAGTGGCTGCAGCGGCAGTAACTCCAGGAGCTGCGGCAGTGGCAGTAGCTGCAGAGCAAGTGGCAACAGAGGCAGCTGTAGCAGTGGCAGCGGCAGTAGCTGCAGTGGCAGCGGTAGTGGCTGCCGGGGAGAGGCACTACTGGCAGTAGTGGCGGTGACAGCAGCAGCAGTGGCAGCGGCTGCAGTGGCAGTGGTGGCTGCAGTGGCAGTGGCTGACTGAGGCTGCACCGGCAGTGGCAGTCGTAGTGGCGAGCTGGCCAGCGTCGAGCTGGTAGGCGCTACGGACGACTAGCTGCTGGCGGCAAGCTGGCAGAAGCCATTGGCAGCTAGTTGGCTGGCGCTGCTGGCGACTAGCATCCCAAAAATTAGGGTGGCAAAATGATACCCCCAAGATTGCCGCAGGTAACCTGAGGGTTTCGCCCAGGGGGGTAACCCTAGGGCTTCCGACTGGGTGACCTCGGGGAAACCAACTGTCCAAATGCCTTTCGTTGTGACCCGTGGGAAACCCACGAAGTCGCACCTTTCCGAAACCTTTGGGTTACCCTCAAGTGACATCAGGGCTAGGTGGGGGGAACGTGAGGGCATCAATTTTCCGAGGTGCGTCCTTGATATAAGCCAGTCGATACGCTTACAGTAACTTATAATACACCTGGAAAGTAATAAAAGGCCCTCATACAAAAATTATATTGGTAAATTCCATTCGTGTTCTTCTCCAATGCTCATTTGCCAATAGCAAAACCGACAGATTTTACAGGTTTACAGCCAAAAAATGTTGATAATACATACACGATTTTAGTGAACTGGTTTACAGCATTTCAGTATTCAAATTTCTGACCTGTTCTTGATAATACATACACCACAAATATTTCGGACTGGAACGAATGGTTCGTAACTCCGTGGAGGTGACAATCACCAAACTAAGTACACATAATCTGCACAGTAAGGATGGAAACAGAAAGCAATAAGCAAAACTTCTCAAAAAGAAAAAAGATAGGGAAAGGAAAATAAATAGAACCAGAGGAAAGCTTCTTACAGTTAGGCAGCCAGAGCCCGTACCAGAGAAACGCTTCACAAAAAGAGTGTTGGCGGGACACAACCCGAACCTCTCTCTGTACAGCTCCTGCAGGATAAGAGACATTGCAAGATGGCACGGCTGCTGTGATGAAACAAGACGAGAAAACAGGCATACACAGGTATGCAATGGCAAACCGCGAAGATGTGCCTTACCCTTCATCGTAAATGGCAGTGAACCACTGTCGAAAACGCGACTAGTATCAGCCAAATTAATCACGTGCCATCACCTGAACGACAGAGGTCCAAGTTTCGGAAAGAACCTTTGCCTTCGTCTTGGAAAAACGAAAAGCGGGAATAAGACACGATTTGAAGTGACAAAACGCCATAACACGAATGCCAGCCTCCGACCAAAAACCATGCAAGAATGGGAGTTGTGACCGGGACAAAACCACAACTGGGGAATCAAACATATGAACCAGGCTCGGGTACAGGTCGACGTGCAGAGTTGTACTTCGGGTATACGCACAGGTACGACATCGATAAGCTGACCGTCCGAGGGCCGCGGGCTTGGGTATCTGAGAGAAACAAGGAAGATAGTATAGCGTTAATTCACGAATTGTAACAGGAGGGGAGCGGCTAACTGGCTCGCGTTGAAAGAAATTGAGCATGAAAAGCAGGATTGCTAACACGAAGAGACGCATTCACCCTAACCTGGTCGCCGTGCCTGATGTAAATGGTGCATCGCTAAGGAAGAGAGGTAGAAACTGGCGTGAGAAACAATGAATGGAAGAATTGAGGATTGAGTTCAGTTGAAGTCCAGTGAGAGCACCCGGATTAGCCCAACGGAGAACTTGGGTTTGGAGTCATGTTCCGAGATTCGATTCTGTGTGTTCGTTGCGTAGTGCTATCCATTGAACACCATATGTCGTGGGCATATTGAGCCGATATTTTGTAACAAGGCCTTAGATTTCGACTTTCAGACTGAACATTGTCGTTTGAAACCGCCTCGTAGAACGCGCCCCACCGTCGTTCCGTCCTTACCCAGCCTTGTGATTTCGCATGAGTTCGCAGCCGAAGATTAGGAGAAAA